ATTTAAAAAAAAATTGTATAGATTATTTTATTTAAAATATATATTTTTAGTTTAGATATATTTGTAATATATTTTATAACGTTTTTTAGGATTAATACTGAAGAGCATGAAGCTCTTGTCAACAAAACTTTATTTCTTGATTTTCAACACTTTCTTTGATTTCAACACTTTCTTGGTTTTCAACAATTTCTTTGATTTCAACACTTTCTTGATTTCGACACTTTCTTGATTTCAATACTTTCTTGATTTTCAACGCGTAAAACTTAGAGTTGTTATTGATTTCGACTAAATCGACTAAAAGTCGATTTAGTCGAAAATCGAAAAAAGTCGATTTCGACTAAATCGACTAAAAGTCGATTAGTCGAAAGTCTAATTTAGTCCGAATTAATAATTTAATCGAATAAAAGTCGATTTAGGCGAGTAAAAATCTTAAAAAGTCTTATGGAGCTTTGGGGCAGATAAAAATTACGTCGCTTAAAATCTAAATGCTATCTTTACAATCATGATTGCAATGACCTTTTGATATATAAAAAGTCTAATACATTGGGGTCTAGAAACAGATTGTCCTGTTGTAAGAGCACCCTTTCTCTCATATTGTTTTGTTCCATTATTATTTAAATGATGTTATATTTAAAAATAGAAAGCAAATATAAATTTATTTATTTACTTTTATTACTATTTATTTCAAAAAAACAAATTATTTCCATACATCGACTAAATCAACTTTTAGTCGATATTAGTCGACTTTAGATAATATATTAGTCGATTTAGTCGACAGCCGAAATATATAAACGTCGTAACAACACTAGTAAAATGGCTTAGACTTCTATAAATTAAACTTTTTAAATATTTTTACATAGAATATTCATTTACAAATATGATGCAAATAAGTTTTTATGCCAATGCCAATCAGAAAATGGTAATAAATTAAACAATATATACAAACTTAACCTTCTTTCTCTCTCTCTTTCTAAAAAACATCAACAACATAGTGGGTTTAAGTATGGCCAATTAATAAACGCGGGCTAATTAAATGGCACATTTTGACTTTAAAGCGTTCTTAAGAAAAATTTATTAGAGGCAAACTTATAGTCTGGTCGCTACAAGTAAAAAAAAAAGGAAAGCTAAACATTTTGAGTGGATATTCTAATTTTTATATAGACTTGTTCCTTATAATTTAAGATGTTTGAAAATTTTTACGTGCCACTAAAAAAGTGCTTATAACTTAAGTTAGAGACAAAAATTGATGCAGCTTATCGAAAAGATTTTAAGTATAATATATCCGCCATGTTGTTTATAAATCCAATACCGCAAAGCATTAATTTAGTATTACCAAATTATTGACAGGGGGTTAATTGTTTGTAAAACTAGATGTTTTAAATATAATTACTCAAATCTATGTAACCAAAATTTTATAAACCTTATTTAGAAAAAAAATTTGTTTATAATTTATTTTTTAATATTGTATTGAAAATATAAAATAATTTTAATTTAATAAATCTAAAAAATAAACAATGTTCCCGTTCTTTTTTTACATTAAAAAATGTTTACTTTTCAAAAACTGTTTGCTTTTTTTTTGTTATCAAAAATCTTTTTAAAAGTAAAGAATTACCGTCATAAATAAGAGAAAAAATCAAAGTCATTGTTTTAAATAAAACAAAATATTTGCATAACAAACCGCAATCAATTTCAAAGAAACGGTGGTTGCAAAATGATAAAACATAAAACTAAAAAAACGTGTTTTATTTCTATTTATTTATTACTATTAAACTAAATAATGGAGAGTAGCCAAAAAATGCAGCATTTTAATCTGGTTCCTAAAAAAGAAATTAAAAATGCTTGTATACTTCATCAAGGTGAAGTTGGTCGTAATTATAACAAATTGCGTGGTTTTACTGAAAATGCGCTTGCGAAAGTGCATTGTGACTTACAAACCAAGCATTGTGACCTACAATGCTTGGTAAGTCACAAACTAAATGTACAATTCAATTTATTTTTTATATATGTCTTAAACAATAGTACGGAAAAAACAATAAAGAGCGTAAATTTGATAATAATATTTTTTTTTTACTATCGTCAAATTCGAAATGACTTTAAAATCATAAACATTCTACCTAAAATTCAGGTCCGTATTCAGCATTTTTTGGTCTTTGAGATATCTAACTTCCAGACATGGAGCAAACTCCAAACATTTATATGTTTATACTTATGTCTAATAAGGATGCTTTGCAAGAAAATGCGATGATTCGAGCTTGGGAACAAAAAAGCCCCAAAATTTGTGCTTCCCCTGCCCCAAACGTGAGAGCAACAAGTTGATGAAGTACTTTTTGTACCATTTTTAACTAGAGTTATATTTATCGATAACTTTTAAATTTCATAGTAAAATATTTCAGCGTTCAAAAATTAAAACAATATAAAATTTGCGACCCCCTCAAATTGAGGGGGTTTAAAACTTTATATGGTCAAAATTTTTGAACGCTGAAATATTTTACTATGAAATTTAAAATTTATCAATAAATATAAGTCTAGTTAAAAATAGTACAAAAAATATTTCATCAACTTGTTGCTCTCACGTTTGGGACGTGAAACACAAATTTTGGGGCTTTTTTGTTCCCATCGCAATTTTTTGCAAAGCATCCTTATTTGACATAAGTATATACATAAAAATGTTTGGAGTTTGCTGTATGTCTGGAAGTTAGATAACTTGAAGACCAAAAAATGCTGGATGCGGACCTGCTGACGCGTGCCCAACAACTTTCTTATTTTATCAAAGATCTTACGATAAGTATGTGAATATAAAAACGTTAAACATTTTATAACATCGGAAAAATAGAGCAGAAAAAGTCAACGAGAGTGTAGGCGTGGATAATGCATTCTCATTTAAGCGCAGAATCTCGGCTCGGAAAAGAGATAATTCAGGTAAATTAAAAAACCCTTGAGTGTGAAATGCAGAGCAAAGAATATTGCCCACAGTTTTCACGTTTTTTTTTAATGTTTTATATACTACTTCAAAATTAAAACAATTCCTTTGTTTCAGGAAAAATTATTGCGGATGAAAAGTGTTGCATTTGCTATTGCAAAAAGACTAATAAATATAGGAACGGATATAAAACGCTTACCAATATGCACCGGACCTAAAAAAGACGTCTTTTGAACGTTCAAAATACGTCCCAAACGTTCAAAAGACGTTTGAAATAGGTCCAAAACGAGTATAAGACGTTTAAAAACGTCTTTTTTACGTCCGTGCCTACTGAGCAAAATTCGTAACAGAAAGTATGCAGCAAACATGTTAAAAGAAAACGCTTAAGTAAAGCTTAGAGTTATATTATCATCGGTCTTGTTACTTTAACTATACAAGACCCCAAAAGTTTCCTTTTATTTTAACAGAAAATGCAATTATGCGTTTGCTCTTCGACTATGTGAAAGAACACGTATTAGACAATTTAGAGATTACTCATACAAGTAAGCTATTTGAATTTTAGGAGCAACACTGCGCAGATAGAGCAAATATTCTAGATAAAAGGAGTTTGCAGGATGCTGTAGTTGCAGAACTTGCGGATCTGTTCAGTTGCGGTCACCAAAATAGGGTATTATTTCTTATGCAATAATACCATTGAGAAGGGGAGAATCGTTGAAGTTTTTTTTAAAAAGATTGAGAATTTAGAAAAAAAGAATAATTCAAAACCGATTGAACAGCTTATCCATCATGTCGCACAAAAGATTCGCAGCGAGGTTTTGTCTTTAAAAAAAAATACTTTAAACTGCCTATTTATAATGCATCTATTGGTTTCGAAACCGTTTGAATTCACACGGTTGACACAGATATTGCTATTTACACTTTGTACTTTTAAAACTAACTTCAAATAGAATTATTTGTGGATATTGGCGTCTCTACTGAAAGATAGACTCTTGATACAAATCTTATTGCCTCACAGTTAGTTACTGATTGTTGTAAAGCTCTTCTTGCTCTTCATGCATTTAGCGGGAACAATTATACAAGTGCATTTTACGGAATTGGTAAGCCAAAGTTCCTCAAACTAATGAGACAGTCTGAAGAGTACAAGTCAATTTTTCCAAGGTTGGGGACTCCTATACCTTTGATGTAACCCATTCTGACCAAATCGAAAAGTTTATATGTCAATTATAAAAATTATAATGCAGTGATACGAACGAAGGAAGATACCTTAAGTTTATTGCCAAAAAAGAAGCTACGGAACCCTAAAAGTTTCAGCCAACTAGGGATGCTCTTATCATTGCAAGAGAGTTTCGTATCAAACAGCAATTGTCAAACAATCATTGGAGGCAAATCTCAATAATCCAAACCCAATGGATATGGATAGCGAGAAATCAGCAATTAACTTGAGGTTAAACTGATGCTAATTAGACCTGCTCCAGAAGATGTTTTGCAGTTAATTCTTGTTCGTGTAAAAAGTCAAAATGTGAAACACGGGTTGATTGCATGGATTGACTTGTACGGAACTGTTCGTCTTGTGAAAACACAAATGATTGGGACGATACCTAAACAAAATATTATTCAACTAATTCAAATATTTCCTTATAAAAATCTATTCACTAAATTTTTTTTTTGCGAAATTTGACAAAATTATTAGCGTGACGTCATCAGTACCAAACAAGGGCCCAAATGTGACTCTTTCAGCACTTTCAGAAAGGCACGTAAAATTTTTCTCATTCAAGATATCAATGTTAAACTATTTAAGTAATTTTTGTAATGTCCATTTCCAAGAATAAGTTACATATAGCGTCCAGACTATTATATTTTATCAAAATATAGTTTATACTTTAATGGTTCATTAATGGTGGCCACACTTGCTATTTAGAAAACCTAACTAATCTTAGTTATTCTTTTTTCTTTTTTTTTAAGGTAACTATGTAATTAACGAGGTAATTTCTTAATTCTAAGTGTTCTCTGTTGTTCTTTGATAATGTATTATAAACTATTAAAATTATTTTTTTTATTAAAATGGCATTTTTTTTTTAAGGTAACGATGGTGCGGGAAATAATTGGGCAAAAGGGTACTTGGTTTGTGGAAATGAATATATTGAACGAGTATTAGATATAATTAGAAAAGAAGTTGAAGCTTGCAATTGTATACAAGCTTTTCATATGATGCATTCATTAGGAGGTGGAACCGGCTCGGGGTTTGGTAGCCTCACATTGAATAGACTCCGTGAAGAATATCCCGATATACTGTTCATTAACACTAGCATATTTCCTTCGGCATTAGTATCTGAGGTAATTGTAGAACCTTATAACACTGTTCTCTCGTTAGATCTTTTGTTAGAACAATCTGATGGTGTCTTCTGCATGGATAACGAAGCCCTCTCTAAAATATGCCTAAATAAACTTAAACAAAAACGAGTTACTTACGACAAACTTAATCAATTAGTGGCTGCTGCAATGAGTGGAGTCACTACAAGTCTAAGATTTCCAGGCCAGGTTTGGTTAAACTTTTCATTTTTATAGTTTTTTTCTATTACTACGAAAAAAACTTAATGAAAAAACTACTTTTTTTTAGTTAAATGCAGACATACGAAAACTGTCGGTAAATATGATACCTTTTCCAAGATTGCATTTTTATATGACAGGGCTATCACCTTTATTAAATGCAGATGAATTTGGATATTGCAAGCAAGGTGTGGCCGAACTAACCCGCGATTTATTTGAACCTTCTAATATGATGGTAGACTGCAACCCGCGTGCTGGGCGATATCTGACATTTGCAGCAATGTACCGGGGTGCAGTTTCAATGAGAGATATTGACGAGCAACTAAAGTTAATTCAAAACAAAAATAGTGCCTATTTTGTTGAGTGGATACCCAACAATGCTAAGGTATCATCTTGCAATGTTGCACCAAAAGGACATAAATTAACGGCAACGTTTTTGGCAAACAATACATCTCTTCAAGATGTAATGCGGAGGATTCGGGATCAGTATTTAAAAATGTTCAAACGAAAAGCATTTTTACACTGGTACACTACTGAAGGAATAGAAGAAATGCAATTTACAGAAGTAACATTCATATTGTTTACATACATTATTATTTTTTTATAAATAGCTTTTTTGATTTCTTGCAGATACTGTGTGAAAAACTCTAAATCATTGTTTTTTATTTACAGGCAGAATCTAATATAAACGATATTATATCGGAATATGAGCAGTTGACTCACATGACAGCAAACGATTTATGTTGCTGTAGCGATTTAGAAGATTCTCTTGAAGAACTAGATTCTGGAATTTCTTGTTTATAGAGTAATTCTATTACAAATGAACTTGCATAATTATGTATTAAGTTATAGTAAATATAAATAGTATCTTTCTTTAATATATAATGTACCTCACTGTTTTATATTTTGTTTAATTTTATTTATTTTATGTTATTTATCGTTACACTTTTACTTTTAAATGTGTTATATTAAATAATTTTAAATGTTTTATATTTTATTTTTTCATTACCGTAATATGGGGTTTGGTCCACTTTCAAACATTTTTTCTATATAGTTTAAATAGATATTATTTTATGAACCTAAAATTAGTTGTAAATTACAAGGACTAGCCAAGCCTCAAGATACAAACCTACCTAGTATATTTATTTTGCTATAGAGATATTTATAGGGTAGCTAGAGTCAACCCTGCTTGGGGTGACTTTGGTCGCTATTGATTTTCACTATTTTGACAGATTACTGCGCCTCACAGAGTTGACTTTCTTGGTCCAGGTATTGCTTGACAGTCATACGCAGATCCATGGTGTCAAATAGATCTGCGTATGACAGTGTCAACCCCCAGTCAGACAGAACAAGCAAATGTTGTACTATTACTATTTCTTCTTCTACATCGGACGGTACTGTCTGCCCACTCGGTTTACTTCTTATAGAAAGTCCGCATTTTCAAATTTATCCTTTAATTTACTTTGGAATGTTGACCTTAAAATGGTATATTTCTTGTATATCTTGTGTATTTAGAATTTGGTTTCCAAAATTTTTTTAAAAAAAGCACATTTCAGACGGCTATCTTGAAGTGATGACTGCATCGCAGAAAATATTCTCTAAACTTTGAAATGCTACTATGTAATTGTGTATATCTTAATTTCGCACCTCGGGTGACCATGATGCCTCGGTGTCACTCCATATTACGGTAAGCGAAACATTAAGTTATATATAAGTATATATAACTTAATGTTAACATTAAAAATAAATTTTTTATGTGTTGTTAGCTAAAAAAGTTGCAGTTAATATATTCAACTTTTATTACACTAGCAGTTTTGAGGGATCTACTATCTTTTTTGACAGTTTATTCTGTTAAACCAGTAACTGGCATTCTGGATTTTTTTATTCTGGCATTTTCTGTTTAATTGACACTTAGGTATTGCGGATTAACAATTTTGTAAATAAGCTAACGAATTTTTTATATAATTTATCATCTTAAAAATTAAAAAAATTACTAAACGTAAAACATATTTGCAAGAAAAGTTTTGCTTCTTTGTATTTAGGATTTATCCCACCTGAAAATTATGTTTAGATCTTGGAAGACAAACTATCTAACTTACGTAATTATCTTTCATATTACATTATTAACTGCAGATAGTGCAGATATTAGTATATAATAGATATTAACTGCAGATATTAATAAATTGGATGACAGCTTTTTTTTGAGAATGTATTTTATGTGTGTTATATTGTAAAGATATAATGATAGGATAGAGATGTTTGACAAAAGTATTATGAAATATGAAGAAATGTTGGTGAATTCAGTTAGTTGTGTTCAAGTTAGTTTTAAAGTTACATATAAAATGTTTAACCAACTAAAACTTAATTAGACATTATAAGCATAATATATTTATTTGAAAAGAAAAAACAAGCTGTTTGAGGTATCAAAATAAGTTTCCAAACATCCACCCTCCCTAACTATTAATCTCCCTGCCTCCTAAACCTCTCCCTTTTAAAAAAAAAAGAAATTGCTGTGGTTTCTCAGTATTATTTCGCTCAGTCATTAGAATATTTGGCATAAAGAGTCTGCGCTTTTGCGTTAAGTCTAGTTTACTTTGTAGCTTTTTATTCACGTTTTTGTTTGATTATTTTTTTCTTTTACCCGACTAGATTATTTATTTACTAGTCGAGAAGGAAACATCGTAATAGCAGAGCTAATCGAGACGAGTTCCCTTCGTACCAAAGTACTACTCATACGCTGAGTAGGTGGAGCCGGGATTTGAACCTGCAATCCAGCTGCTACGGCCAATATTTATTCCGAACTTTATAGCAACGCTTTAACCAACTGAGCTATTCAGGACTCAATCATATTTTTATATTATTATAGCAACGCTTTAACCAAGTGATCTATTCCCGGCTGTTTGAGGAACTCAATCGGCACTATACTTTCTGTCAATTTTGGTTCATTTTATACGTTTTTGATTTAGCACGAGATTGATTTCTGTTTTGAAAAAAGATTTTCAACTCTATCTCGATACTATTTTTGCAACGCACAACACATGCTTGATATAAATCAAGACTCAAAGCTGGCTTAATTGTTGTAGTTGATAAAGGTGGTCATCATTGTGCAGTTGGAGTAGGTGCTGCAGTAACTGTTAAAGATGATAATGGTGGATTAAACGTTTGATTGTTGATGCCTTATGATTTGTATTGTTTTTATTTAGTGGAAATAAACCAGCGTATTAAAAACTAGCGATAGCATGCAAACATGTGATACATTTACCACGCAACAGCGATTTACGCAAAGTGAAAAATTTTATTTATCTAAATTCTTACATTTTGAGTCTTTTTAATACTTGGTAAAAACCAGTCTTTGACAGGCTTGCCATCTTTTAATAAGGGCAGTTGATCTTTGCCATTAGGTTGACCAATTTTGAGGAGTTATCTCAGTACAAACCATAGCCCTATCACCAAGTGGTTGGAACGTTTCATATCAAATAATGCGCTAGTATAAAATCTTTTTTGTACGCTTTTTTTTAAGTTGACATTTTGGACTAAACAAGTTAAGTTGAGTTGAATTAAGAGTGTGATGATTGTATTGAGGAATAAAGTAATAAATTATTTTTAATTAAAGTGGAATTAATGTTGATTAATGCAGTTAATTAACAAAATATAATGTTAGTTAGATAAAAATAGTCGCTTATTAACTTGCGGTTTCGAAATATATAACTGAAAAACTCAACATATAATTTAGAAATTGTAACATAGAATTGACACAAAACAAAATAAAATTCGGATTTCGTAATACGCAATTGAAAAACACAACTTGCAGTAATATGTAAATGAGAATACATAAATTTTAATTGCAAATCCACAATGTAAGCTTATAGGTTGTTATAAAAGGTCTTTTTAGACGTGAATTTAACTTAAGTAGTATTTTCAAATTTATATTTGTATGCTCCAGCAATGTTAATAGAATTGAAACATAGTTGTTTTGTATGTCAAACAAAATGTCCCGAAAGTCTCTTTTTAAATTAAATCCTTGTCAACATTTTTTTCACCAAGTGTGATTGTCTGCATAATATTCATACCACTGAAAGATTCAAAAGAAAGCATTACGTTTTATCTTCAGCGAGTGACAGAAGATGGTTGAGTGACTCTCGCTTAAACTTTTGGCATCAAATTAAAGACAGCCGTGGTGCAGTGGTCAGAGTTCTGGCTCAGAACCAAGAGGTCCGACGTTCAACGCTGGCTTCAGCTTCCTAGTTAAATACTCTTCGGCGGTGCTCTTTGATAAGGACCGGCGAGTATTCGTTAAAATTCGGATTACGAAGCTTACTAAAAGGCGAAGTTGACTTCGGCTTCGATGGTGCCAAAGCACACTTGCCTCAGAAACAAAGTATCCATGGTTCAAACCCCACCTCTGGGCAAGTTTTGCGACATCGGTTAGGAAGGAGGCGTGAACTTCCAATTAAATGCTCATTCGCGGTGTTCTGTGATAAAACCGTGATAACTTCTTGGGGCACCTAAATATAAAAAAAAAACAACAAAAAAAAGTTGAAATAGAAATTTGGCTTTCAGTTAAATTTGGTAACAGTTTCAAAATTTCATTTAACTTTCAGTTAAATTCGGAAGCTATATAGTTTTTTTCAATTTATAAAGAAGAAGTATTATAAAATATATTATATGTTTTATGTATATCAATTTGTTTTTATTGGTTACAACCCTCTTTCAACTCTTTAACTCCGAAAAGTGTTTCAGAGTTAAAGAGTTGCGATAGGGTTGTAACCAATATAAGAAGTAGGTTCCTCAACTAAAGTGGCTCACTGAGGCTGTATGTCCACATTTTATGTTTTTTCTAATTATTATCAAAAAATTTAACAATTAATGGGGTATGTGTCCAATAAATTTAGTCTCAAAAATGATATATATTGTTAAAATATTTAAAAAATGAGTCAGACATTCTGGCAGAATTTTTTTACAAATTAATTTTTAAAACTTGATTTTCTCGGAAACACAAATAATCAACATACGGCCTCTTGGTTCTCGCCTGACGACTTTTTAAATCTTATTTATCGCTTTCAAAAAACCCTCAAGGTAAAAACCAGGTAAATATTTAATCGATCTTTTTCCTTTATAAAATTGACAATCAAAATTTCTCAATAAACGTTGTAAATGTTTTTTTGTTCGTGTTCGTTCAACGACATTAAGAATTGAAGATTCGATAATTTAAATTCTCATCATTACTGAATTTTCAGATTTCGACGCAAACTGTTTTTTGTAAGCGTACATTTTTTTAATAAATTATTATTTACTTGCTCGGTGTAGTTAAGACACTTTAAAAATATTATAGCGTCTGTATGATATTTTGTTGACTACGACATATTACTGTTTGAAGGTCTGGTCTGTGAATTATAAAAAGTTAAATGATAAATTTTGCGTTATCATAAAATCTAAATGTTTGTAGCGAAAAAACCCAGACCGAAGATTCTTTTTTTTTTTAAAAAAAAGTCATCTTGAAATTACAATTGCTCGTCCAAATTTAAATAAGATTTTATAATAACGCGTTTTTTAGGTAAAATAAACATTATGGTTTTACAATATGATCTGTTCTGATCGTTTATCGGCAATTTTCCATAATTATAAGCTCTTCTTGGTCAGAATTCTAGTATTTTTGTGAAAATTGATAGAAATATTGTGTTTTGACAACTATATATATTTAATATACCTCAGAACCAATTAGAACTAGGATCAGTAGTAGATTAAGGAGCTTTTTAAAAAGATTTAAACTAAATTCATATTAATGCCGATGAGCGGAATTGATCTAAAGACTCCAAAATAGTGTTCTTTAGATTCACTATTACAGGTAGTAAAAAGGTTTTAAAAATTATGTAAAAAAAAGGAAAGCTTTTTAAATATGATAAAAACATTAAGCAAAAAAAATATAACATTTAAAGATCTTGTTTGGACATAATATGCTGACAAAACCATGCTAATTTTAAATAAAAAGGTTTGAATATTTTGTAAATCGCCTTAACCACACTAAGTGGCTTCAGTTGTTCTTCGTAATGTTTTGAATTGTGGTTAATTACAAGCTAAAAAATAATAATTTTAGTTTATAAAAAACGATTATACAACAACTGTGGCGCAGGCTTTAGAAGCAAGAAACCTAGGATTCAAAGCAAGCTCTAAGCATATTTTGTACCATCCTTAAGGAAGGAAGTTTGAACTTCCCAGTTTAATACTTTTCTGATGTATGCAAAACCGTTAGGTCTTCTTGGTACACCTAAAACAAAAAACAAAACAAATATTTTTTATATAAATTATGAAAGTTCTTAAAAAATTTCTCTTTTAATTAAATGTGTTTTTAAAATCCAAAATCGTCTTTCAGTTAAATTTGGTATACGAATATGATCTAAATTCGTCTGACATTTAAATTCGAGTCTTAAAAAGTTGACTTCGTCGGTCCTTACTTTGTGATAAGACTGTAAGGACTTCAGGGGGCAACTTAATAACCATGAAAAAAAAAACTAGATTCGCAGCAAAAAATTTACATTTATTAGAATGTGAATTTTTCATCATCAAATTGAAGAAACATTAACATGGATTAAATATGATTGTCAATTAAGATTGGTTTTTAACTAATTACCTCAAAGGCACTTATTTTCATTAAAAAAAGTGCACAAGGAGCCTTCTACAATAAACAGTAAAAAAAAAAAAAAGAAGGTGATTACGTTAGAAACATCAACGAGCATATCACAAATAGTCGTAAGATAGTTTGGTCAACGTCAGATGAAACACATTTTAAATATTTTTTCTAGAAAAACCCGAGGACGCGTTAGATAAAGAAGACAATATCACGTTCTCAATTACATCTTAAACTTCTTATTTACAACTTTCATGTTCTTAATTACATTTTACTTTTCTCAATTATAATCTAGAAAAGGTTTTACTTAAGTAATTAACTGGTGTTATTTAAGTAAGGACACCCCCTACGCTTTCCCCCCTCGGGATGGCCTTGAGTGTGCGATTTTATCAAAAAAGACACTTTTGACATTTTCGATTTTTTGATTCAGTTTTTTTTCTAACCAGATAAAATTTAAATTATTAAAATGGAAATTAAACTGCTAATCAAAGTGCTCAAATGTTATATGAGTATTGGTTCCAGCGTTTTTTTTTACTATTCCAATTCTCTAGAACAAACAATATATAAAAAAAAGTGCGCGCTTATAAATAATTAATAAGTAAAAAATAAATTTCTACAAAAATATAAAAGAAAAATTACAAACACCCCCCTCTCCAATCAACACAAAATCAATAATATCTTCACCAACCCCATCAATTACGAATTCCAATCTATATACTTTTGCCGTTGTGTCTATTCCATCTAAATATTTGACTCACTTCCCCTACGATTAAAGAAGGGGAGGATATTTATTTTTAAAACTAGTTTTTAATAACAAGAATAATACTTGTTTTAATATGTAGTTATAAACGATCTTATCACAACATGGTAATATTAAGGATATGCCAATTTTTATTAAAGTACTATTGATAAACTATATGCTGCTGTAACTCCTCTCCATAATGGCTAACTTTTGTGACTTTGTTCTTTGTACTTTTTAAAAAAAGAAAAAATTAAAAAAATTCATGCCTCAGTCTTATCACCGCGAATTGTTGAACGTACCAAATCTTTCTAAATATTAAAAAAGTATTTGATTTAAAGTAAACTGTTTTTTACTAAACATAAGTATTACTGATGGTAAAAGTATGAAATATGTAACCCTTTAATAAATATCTTATTTTAATATTAAATAATTCTCATTTTTCTTTGCTCACTTCTCATTTTTTTCGCAGTTTACACATAACGCCATTATTAAAAAATTACAAGTTACGAAATTTTACAATTTGACGTCATTTCAAACTCAGGTAATTCTTATTACTTTTTCACCTCGTAAATCATAAAAGTTTCTACATCTGCATCTGTTGCAAAAACAATGCGTCTTAACGAAAGTTCTTTAGTTACACCAGAACCTTATCATATTCCTGGGTAAGAAATTTTTAGTTATAAAACCGCTTGCTAATGTTAGTGTAAAAAAGCGCGTATATTGCTTTCAAATGTAAAACCATATATTCATACCAAGGAGAAATTCAAAAAACGAAAAAAATATATTGGTAATAATTCATGTATTGTAGCTTTGCCGAATAAATCTATAAGTTTAATTTTCGACGCCTTAATTAATATTATTTAGGGTTGAAAATTTCCGAAAATGTTCTGGGAAGTTTATCTCAAGATTTCTGGAAATTTTAAAAAAATTGCAATAAACTTATAGTTACTATATAGCTTTATAAAATTCATTTCTTCGTTGCAAAAATATGCGTTTTATCATCATAGTAATTGTGTATTCTCTAAATATTTCAACAAAAAATATATATACTAATAAAGACCCACAAGTAGGAATGAAAATTTCCCGTATATATTTGATTAGGAATCAATAATCATGGTAATTTATTTTATAATTAATCGGTAAACTTTATAATTAATCGGTTTTATCTTATTTAAGCAGTTGTTATGGGCAATTTTATAGTAAAATATTGTGAAGCAGATCATAAAAGTTTTAAAAAAACCCCTTTAAAACACTTTTTTTGATATATTGTTGAATTTTTTTTATTATGTAGCTACTATGTTATTAAGTAGCAGCTATGATAATTAGTTTTCAAAATTTTTTAAAACTGTTTTGTTCTGTTATTTGCGAAGCATGTTTCGTGTACAATACCGTACCAAGCTTTGTTTAAGACTTAACAAAATTTGTATCCCTTCATACCTAAAGTAGATGGGGCATTTTTCAATATCTCTTAGATTGGCCTACAAGTTACTGAAAACTGCTAAATTATACATAAAAAGACTTGATTGAATATTTGCATTATTTTCAATTTTTTCTTAATTTTAAGACTTGATTAATGAAAGGCAAAAATTAAGATTATATTTTGCTATATTTGAACTATCGAAAAATAAGGTTAGCAATAAAAATAGAGAATCGCCACAACCTTCCTAGGGCACTTTTAGCTTTATAAATTAATAAATTAAAAAATAAGGGGGGGGGGAGGAAACCGTAAAAAATACCGACTGGTTTCTTAAAAATAATTAAAAAAAAGGTCTTTAACAGGGCTGTCCTGCAGGGGTGTCTAATCTCCCTACGAATTTTATTAGTCAGCAAATGGACATTGGAGTTGGGAAAATTGGATTTATAGTTGGCAATCACCAAATGTTGGAAAACGAGGACATTTTTTTTTTAGGTAAGTTAGTAGGCAAAAAAATTTTTTTAGCTTTAATCGGCAAAAGACAGACACGTCACCCCCTTTCCCTTTAAAATTTCTTCGGGACGACCCTGGCCATAAAAAAAAATACACCCAACTGAATTGTGTCAAACACCCGATTAACCAACTATTTTCGTGACTATAACTTAAAAATCACCTTTGTGGGGGTGGAACACCCCCTTTGCCCAAAATAGTCTTTGAATGCAATCTTTACATACGGAAAAATGTCGTTGGCCAATATTTGCTAATTGCCAACTGTAGAACCAATTTTGCCAATTCCAGTATCCAATTTGCCGAATAATAAAAATTATATATAATATATAATATATATATATATATATATATATATATATATATATATATATATATATATATATATATATATACATATATATATACATATATATATATATATATATATGTATATATATATATATATATATATATATATATATATATATATATATATATATATATATATATATATATATATATGTATATATACACGTATATTGTTTAAATTTAGCCTATAAAAATACTTTTAATGTTTTTACTTAAAAAAAAGTGTGCAAAAGAAAAAAAATTTTAATGCAATACAATTGTATCATTTTTGTATGGTTACATCAAAGAGAACAAATAATCAATGAAACGTTAAGTAATTCTCATAGGATAGATATTTCTTATTAGATAAAGAGTGCAGATTAATACATTATATTTAAGGTCTTATTGAGTTTTAAGAGAAGGGTACGGTTGTGGTTGCTTACTAAATCGAGTTCAACTCTGAATCTTGATATTGAAATTTTTTATAAATTCTGGTGTGTGTGTTGGAAGGGGGGTGGTGTAGTGGTAGGATGTATACCTCCTTACCTTTTCCTGCATCCACCACTGGATAGTATTGCATTCAGTATTATTACTATTATTGCAATTAAGATTATTAATTCTATTACTTGCTTTTATTTATACTATTATTAAAAAAATACTATTATCAATACTATTACATTTGATATATATTTTCTATATCTATACACAATGATGCTGCTGCATTGATAGTATTATCAACGCTGCATTAGTAGTATTAATAAAGTTTTATTTTAGTCTTTATTTTATTGATAATCTTTGATACTTTTTGTTATTTCAATGTTGTTCCACATTTTAGATAACAAAATATAATATCATAGAATAAAATAGAAATAGTTTTATTCAAGAAAAAAGATTTTTTTTTGTTTGCATTTTTTTATTATATATATACTATTTTTTTTTTTTTTTTTTTTTTTTTTTTTTTACGCTTCGTATTTTAGGTATACGTATCGCAAAAACCACAATGTTGGCTTAACTGACCTAGAATGTAGAAAATTATTCAGGATTCAAAAATCTTGATATTTTATGATAGCTAATATGTCAGCCTATAAATTAAAGCAGTTTTAGTGGTTTTTTTTATTTGTTAAATACTTTGGTATTTGCACTAGAGTGTAATAAAAAATGCACTAAAAAATTTCAATTATAGAAATGTGTAGTTTTTTTTGTTTTGTAGGAGCCTAGAAGCCGTATCAGAGAATAAGTTAGCAAAATATGGTTTTTCTATTACCTATGGATTATAACTAGATATTGAAAAAAGTTTTTTTTCTCAAGTAGTTATAAATCTTTATAATACCCTCATAAAGAAAGGAAATATTTTTGTTGTTTTTTGGGTATATTTTATAGAATTCAGTTTATAGAACATGTTTGGAAATAAAAAACAACAACAATTAATTACCATTGTATTTGATTTTTTTTAAAGAGAATAATATATATTTATCTTAAAAACAATATTTGAACACAGCAGTTTTAAGACAGACAATTTTTTTTTTTTTTAATCTTTAATTTTTATTTTTTTTTGTCATTTGACACATTTTACAATGTTAACCTTACATTCAAATAAATTTATTCAAATGCAAGCTGACTGGGGCAAGTAGAAGACAAAATGTCTTATCATCAAGCCCCTTCGTGAAAATAAAAAAAATAAATTTTTTTTACCATTTCTAATAATATATAATAGAGTGAAACTAAGAAAAGTTAAAAAAAAAAACAAATTAAAAAGTTTAAAAAAATCAAAAAGTTGAAAAAATAATTTTTAAGTTTGACAAAACTAAAAAGTTTGAAAATAATAAAAAATAAAAAAGTTTGAAAAAATAATTTACAAATCCGTACATATGCGTATACATATCCAATAAACTTCATAATATATATTTAAATATACAAAAGATATTTTGAATTAAAAAAGATTCCGAACATTTTATAGATTTAAGTTCATCTTAAGGGGTAAACAGATTCTATCTGTTGACCAGCCTCGCACCCCTTCCTCATCTATTAGGCTGGCGCAGATGTATTTTTAATACATTGTTTCCAGTTTAGGATGTTGAACGCTGGATCTTCTTGACTCAATGCGTGGGTATTGCTTGTGTCTCTATTTTTACGACTGGGCAACTCATTCTATTATCTCCTAATGAGGGTACAGCTCTAAAACTCAGTTTTATGGTTCTGAGGCCGGCTGGTAGTCAGGTTTCCCGAACTCTGTGGTAGCTCTCAGAGAGGCTGATTCCATCAACAGCCGAAAAATATCAGAGTACTAACAGTGCCATGTTGCGCATGGATGGTGTCCCTGTTTGTACTTTTGGTGTGCATTGCAGAGGCCACATTTGGAGCCCTTTGTTACGGCTTAGGGTTTATTAATAGTAATGAGGCTATTGCTTAGTTGTTAAATAGTGTACTGAGTACTATCTATACTTGAGTCAAGTTCTTTATAAATTTAAAATGACTAAAGTACCTAAAACTAAAAAACACAAAAAACCATCGTCATCACCAAGTTCTCTAAACCTAACATTTACTAATATTCGTGGTCTTCGAAGTAACTTTTCTTCTGTTGAGTCTTATCTCTTGCAAAGTTCACCAGACCTACTTGCTCTTTGTGAGACTAATTTGAGTTCGGCTGTCCCATCTTGTGATCTTAGTGTTGATGGTTATCTTCCTTTAATTCGTAAAGACTCCAATAATCACATGCTTGGCCTGGGCATCTACATTCGTAAGAACTCACCCATTTGTCGTGAAACTAGGTTTGAATCTACAGACTATTCATTTATGTGCTTTCGTTTAGCACAACTTCACTCTATCGCCTTTCTCTTTGTTCTATATCGCTCTCCTTCATCCCAAGATTTCACTATTCTTGATGCTATTTCTGATCAAATTGACCAAGCCCTCTCTCTTTATCCATCGGCCAATATCGTCGTTGTTGGTGACTTTAATGCCCATCACACCGATTGGCTTGGCTCTAGTGTCAGTGACTCTGCTGGCGTTAAGGCCCTCAACTTTTGCCTTTCTCAATCTCTAACTCAAATAGTCAACTTTCCAACTCGTTTTCCAGACAACCCTAATCATTTACCTTCTCTACTCGACTTATGTCTTGTTTTGGATCCTAGTCAGTGCTCAATTTCTCCACATTCACCCTTAGGTACTTCTGATCACGGTTTGATCTCTCTAAAACTATTATCAAACTCTTCTACTTCATCAGAATCCCCCTATCATCGTACCACATACAACTACCTTAAAGCTGACTGGGACTCTTTCCGTGATTTTCTTCGTGATGGCCCTTGGGTAGAAATCTTTCGTCTTCCTGCTGACAAATGTGCTTCTTACATAACTTCGTGGATTCAGGCTGGCATGGAATCTTTTATTCCCTCTCGACGATTCCAGGTCAAG